CCAGTGGAGGGATTGGCAGCGGGGGGCGGCAGAGATGGAGCAGTTGGAAAGGTGAATGAGTCTGGCTGCCGTATTCAGGATCGACTGAATCGGGATAGCCAGCGGCGAGGCAGGCCTGTAAGGAGGGAGTTGCAGTAATCGAGTCGTGATATGATGAGGGAGTGGATGAGCTGTTAGTGGTTTCTGGGGTTAGGAACGTGCGTATTTTGGCGATGTTGTGGAGGTGAAGTCTGTATGAGCTTGTTAAAGATTGGACTTGGGGCTGGAAGGATAGGTTGGAGTCCAGAATGACACCAAGTACTCTGGCCTGCGGGGCGGGTTTGATGGTGGCTTTGTTGGACATGATGGAGAAGTCAATGGGGGGTGGTGTCCGGGCTGGGGGAAGACAAGAAACTCGGTCTTGGAGAGGTTCTGTTTAAGGAAGTGGAGCGACATCCAGTCAGATATGTCGCTCAATAGGTGTGTGATTCGGGCAGAGGCTGAGGGGGTGAGGTGGGGGGTTGAGAGATAGATTTGTGTGTCGTCGGCATATAGGTGGTAGTTGAAGCCGTGAGAGTGTATGAGTTGGCCAAGGGAGGAGGTGTAGATGGAGAAGAAGAAGGGGCCCGAGGACGGAGCCTTGAGGGACCCCAACAGAGAGGGGGTGTGAGGGGGGGTAGCATTATAGGTAATGCTGAAAGAGCGTTGTGACAGGTAGGATGAGAGCCAGAAGAGAGCAGAATCTCTGAGGCCGAGGGAGTGTAGTTTTTTGAGGAGGAGGGGGTGGTCGACTGTGTCGAAGGCCGCAGAGAGGTCAAGGAGTAGGAGCACTGAATAGTGGCCATTAGCTTTGGCGGTTAGCAGGTCATTGGAGAGTTTGAGTAAGGCAGCTTCAGTGGAGTGTAGGGGACGGAAGCCGGACTGTAGGGGTTTGAGGAGGTTGTTGTTGTTACTTTGAATTAGAATTACTTTGCTATAAGCAATCATTTACCTGAATGAATTCGATTCATTCAGGGTTTTTTTTTTTTTTTTTTTTGTGCTTAGCTATGATTTGGCCACAGATAATCACATGACACAGCTGGGCTGTGATTAGCCCAGCTTGTGCATGTGATCGCTGTGACCAATCACAGCTACACACACTAGTATACAATGGATGGCATGAATTAAGCCATCCATTGTATGCAACTGTCATGTGACCTGCTGTGATTGGTCACAGCAGGTCACATGGTATCGGCAACGGGGCCGGTACTCAGATCTGTCATCGGTTGTGTCTGAGGTGCACGGTCGGTGACAGATCGCGCCGCTGCACGGCTCTGCAGGCACGCAAACTGCGCATGCCTGGGAGGACGCCATATGGCGTCCACCTGGAACGCTAATGGATTTTGCACGCCGCCATTCGGCCATTGGCTGGGCGGCTAATGATTAACAAAGAAAAAATTGGCATTTAATTGCTGGCTTCTTTAAAAAAGAAAAAAAACCAGCACGGAGACCCCTCCAAAAGTCCCCCAGATATTTTGGCGGACCCCTGGAGAGGCCTGTTAAAGTTCCTGCTTTCTGTAGGCAGAGAAGCAGTAGATAAACACATGCAATGTGGACTGTGCACTGTCTGTTCTGTAGGTCTGTAGAAGTTAGACATAGCCAAGAAATTAGACGTAGCCTGTATTTGCATCAGTCATAATCAGGGGCAGACTGACCATTCGAGCACTCGGGCACTGCCCGAGGGCCCGGGGTCAGTAGGGGGCCCCATGAAATACCCCTGGTACCTTTTTTATCAGCTTTTTTGAGTGTGGGCAGGACACAGGGGCCCCATGATCCCCTATTGCCCGGGGCCCCATGAGTTGTCAGTCCGCCCCTGGTCATAATCACCATTTATCTTTTACAACTAATAGTGATCTGATAAAGAGATAGTAGAGAGCAATGTGCACATGTGGAAAAGTTCTGCTTGTTCATAGAGGTTTGATTTTTGACCTTACATATATTTTACATTGTATTAAAGAAAACCTAAGCTGAGAAAAAAAAATATTTGGGCTGATTTTCCTATCCTCCATCTGAATATGCTAGTTTTCTGGACAATCTGAGATAAATCAGTGAGTCTTTTTCACTTTAGTTTTCACAGGCAAATATTAACAGTGGACCTTCTGTGCTATAGCCACATTGGAAAGGGTAAGAGTGTACGAGGCATTAAAAGGCTGAAGTGCAGAGTCCAAATACATGCAACCAGATCCTCACCAGAGCACCCTCAAGAGGTGATGAGCTTCAATATAGGGTTTACCAAGTTGTATCACTCATCTTTTGTGATAGAGCTGCACAGAGTGGAAGATCAATTTTGCTGCTGATCTGTGACATTAGTGAGAACTGAAGGCAGAATTGTATCATAGCAACCACTAAATTAGCATTTTTATAGGAGACATCAGCCATGGCAGCCTACATTTTCCTGTTGTGCTAATATATCACGTGTCTAAATATTGATGCACATAATAGTACTCTATTTTGTAATGACATTCTAAACATTAAGGACTCAATCATGCTAGTGGTTGGGCGGCTGTAAGACCTGGTTGAGTCATGCTTTTACTAACCCCCAACAGCTACCCTTTTTTGCTGCAAAAGCAGTAGCTGGGGGGTGTACACATACTGCAACAAGAATTATACAGCCTGTTGCCTTTGTCAGGTGTAGCACTCATTGAATGAGACCCATTCAAGTGCATAGGGCAACTCTGCAAGTGCCCTACAACCCAGTGAAATATGTGCTTTTTTCGTCGTGCTAGTGTGGCATTCGAGGGGTTAAAGCAGGCATTGAGTAGGTGAAACAACACCTTCACACTGGCTGTCAAATGCTGATGAGTGATCTGAAAGAGGACTCTTCAGAGAACAAAACTCTTGTGAATGAGGCCTAAAACCTAAAAGCCCTAAAATGAAAAAAAATTATCACAGGATATTTGAGTGTATTTTTCATAAGGGACCAGATTCCCTGGTGATGAGAATAGTGGGTTTAAATTCTGACTAACATGGCAAAAGTAAATAATTTTGAGTGTGTGGAGAGAGATTATTTACAATGAAAAATGTACCTTATGGCACCACTCCAAGCCATGGATGGAAGGAAAAAGACCACCCCACCGACAAGCGAGAAGAGGAGAACATGAGTTTGAGCGATTCCAGTGTCAGCCAATAAAAGTAAAGGGATAGACACTGCTCAACCAACAGCAGGAGTCTAATGTTGAGGAATGGCCTCAGCGGCCCTTCTGGCCATGCATCAGAGGGCATGGGCAGAACGGTGGCTGTGGCCATTCCTCAACATTGGACTCCTGGAGTTGGTTGAGAGATAATTCAAAACAGTTCTCATGAAACTTTACTCATCGCCTGTTTCTTTTTTTATCTGTCCCTCTGGCTTTCTCAACTTTTTTTTTTACCATGGAGGAGACATTAAAATAACGGTGAAGTCTCAGATAACTCTTGGTGAAAATTATTATATTTACAGCTCATGGTACATTAATGTAATCAGCGGTAAAGGTGCACCGTTACATTGTTGAATAGTAGGAGAAGAGCCCCCTTACAAGGAAGTTAATGGGAAGATTGACCCTCTTACAGACAGCTAAAAAATCATTAATGTTAGAGGGAGTCTAGAACAGCCACACATGTTCTAGCTCTAGGGACCACTAGCAAACAGTGCACAAAAGATTCATATTCTTCCTTTAATGCTGCTAGTTAACCCTCTGCTCTTCCTATAAAAAAATGTAAAAAAGTGGGGAAAATATAGAAAGGTACTAATACTTAAAGTGGTTGTAAAGCAAAAAGGGTTTTTTTTTTTTTTACATTACTGCATTCTATGAAATAAGGTAAAAAAAACTTTCTGGATGCAGCTTCCCCTTCACCCCCCCCTAAATACATACCGGAGCCTGATCTTGATCCAGCGATGTGCACAAGAGCCGAGGCTCCCGCGGCTGTAAATCAGAACCAGTTACGAGAAGTGGGGGGCTGGGGCTGAGCCCCTTTCTGTGTGTCTTATGGATACACAGAGCAGGGCTTTGGAGCGAGCACATATGAGTGCCTCCAGAGCAAAAAGCTTTCTATGGGGGCACTTGGTGGGGAGTTGTGACCAAAGCACTAGCAGGAGACCCCAGAAGAGGAAGATCGGGGCTGCTCTGTGCAAAATCATTGCACAGAGCAGGTATGTACAACATGTTTGTTATTTTAATTTTAAAAAAACAAAACTTTACAATCAAGACCTGGCTTCAGATACATTCCTTTTTTTAAGTAGTTGTCCACTTGACTATAAAACATGGACACATAGAGAAGAAAAAGCAGAATGGTCTTACTAAAATACAGCTAACAATATGCAGTAAAATTCACATTTTCTCTCTTTTTATATACACTAGTCTAGACTTTCTCAACTTTTTTTTGCCATGGAGGAATACTTGAAATTACCTTGCGGTCTCAGGGAACCCCTGCTAAAAATGATTAGATCTAAAGCTCATGATACAGTTATTTGATCAGTGGTACAGGTGCACCCCTACACTGCTGGACTGTAGGAGAATGCCCCCCTGATAATGGAAGTTAATGGGAAGAATGACCCGCTTATTAAAAAAATAATAATTAGTGTTAGTGGTTTATTACCTGAGAGCCAAAATGAGAGTGTCACATGATATTGGCTCTGCCAGTGGAGATCAATGCCAGAACTATGTAGACACCATTATGTAGGCAAATAATTCACCAGTGCCCACTGTTTAAGGAAACCTTAGCAATGTGTGAATGAACCCTGAGCTTCTATGGAATTGTGGATGATAGAGGCTAAAATGGCCACACATGTCCTAGCTCTAGGGACCATTAGTAAATGGTGCACAAGTGATTCATATTCTTCCCTTAGTGTTACTAGTTAATCCCCTGCTGTTCCTACAAGAAAGTGTCGATAATTGGGGAAAACATAAAATGGCACTAATGCTTAAAGTGTTACTAAACCCACAACAGTAAAATCAGTCTGTATACGCAGTAAAGCATGCTTGCTATACCCACTGTGGAAACTAAGGGGTTAATCTTCTGCATTGTGTAAAAAGGCCATTTGATCCTCTGCCCCCACTTCTTCAAATGTACACCTGATAAGACAGACTGAACCTGTAGCCACATGCACAAGCTCAGTTTAGTAGTGTGTATTGCTAGAGAGGTTTTTTTTTCTTGGGAGAGTGCAGGTGATCAGCACAGGGCCAATCAGCACTGTCCAGATAAAGGTCAGTGGTTTTGCATCCTCCTAGAGAAGAAAGAGAAAACTTCTCCTACAAGTTTTAACCAGTGCTCTGCTGAAGTCACAAGACTGCCACATATGCAAACTGTTGTAATTCCTACACCCCGTTCACCTGATTTGGATGTAAAATCTGACAGTCTGCGGTTAAAGCACATCTTGTTCGTTTCATTTCAAATCCATTGTGGTGGTGTATAGAGCCAAAAATTTTAGAATTGTGTCGATGTCTCAATATTTATGGACCTGACTGTAGCAGTTTATATTTATTAAAATAATTGTATTTCAATGTTGTGTGTACTGTGGAAGACAAGATATAGTGAATGCAGGGTCCTGGTTTTAGTAACACTTTAAGACTTAGTTTCAGATACTTTTCCTTTCATATAGTTGCCTACCTGACCATAAAACATGGATGCATAGAGAATGAAAAGCAGGCTGGTCTAAAATACAGCAAACAATATGAAGCAAAATTCACATTTTGTCAGAAGCTTGGAAACACAGACCAGCCGATTAAGACACTCCGGCATACTGGTTCAGCTGAATAATGCTTTATGATTATGCATAATTCAATTATTATTCTGAATTGCACAGGTTATGTAATGCATATTCTTTTTTACATATATAGTATAATAAATGTCTGATTGTCAGTGTGAACATATCCTCAAACTAGTTGTTTCATAATAGGCTGTGGTTTTTGATATTATATAAGACCTGCTATACTCTTAAATCAAATGGTGACCCTAACAAATATTTAACTATCCATTTATATTCGTATTAAAAGGAAACACGATATTCATTCATAATTTATATAAAATGTAATAACCTTATTTAACAGAGGCACCTCTTACAGGCGCAAGGATTCCATTCTGTTAGCTGGAAAAGCTAAAAGAAAAGATAATTTTCAGTTACAAAGTGATAATGAAAGGTGACACCTATCCCTCCCCCATCTTTTAACTTTTGCCTTGGGTTATACATTGCTTTTATGCTTGGACATAACTGACTTCAGTAGTTACTGCTGAAGAATTTCAGTAATATAATTGCTGCATTCTCTGTTCAGATTGGAGAAGACAATGGCCCTACAGTGCACTCAGATGAGAAATGGAAACTTTTGGGATTTCTGCTTTAGTTACAACACAAAGACTGAATTGTACTCTTTCATAGAATTTGCCCTTGACTGACAGCTGCATCAGTAGTCTTGTCCGCCCAGCGAAGCTTGGATTCTGGGAGTAATCTGGGAGTAATCTGAACAAGAACAGGAAGAAGCTTCTTAAAAATCCCAGTTATGATTATGGGTAATTCACTTATTAATCTAAATTGCATGGGTCATGTAATGCATATTCGTTTTACATATATTAAAAATGTGATGAAACGAAACAATCAAAAGATCAGCATTAAAGATCTTATGTCCTTTCATGGAGTGAAAAACAGAACACATTAATTAGAGAGGATCTAGCATCAAATATTTGTTCATGTTAAGTGCTTGCATGTCACTTATGGATATTTATAACATCTCACATAGATGACGGTACTCCCCATGACATTGCCTTCATCTGGTTTTCTCTCTAGAAGGATCTATCTTTGTTAAGCCATTATCCATGGTCAGCATTGACCTCCAGGACTCAAAGATGGCACAATCATGTAAATCCTGGTACCTGTACAATTTTTGGCTGTGTTCACAAATGTCTGACACAGGTCAATCTTCTGCTTCAACCTTTTACCTAGTGATGGGCTACAAAGTTACAATGTTGCCACTGTGAGAGAGGAGACTGAGGGTATCCTTCTTCCAACATGCAGCAGATGGATGACATCATCAAAATCATTTACTTGGGTTTAAACACTATTAAATGATATAGGTATTATTATATAGAGCAGACAATTTATTCAGTGCATTACATATATATTGTACAATTACATCAGTCCCTAACCCTCAAGGAGCATACAATCTAAGGTCCCTAACTCAAATTCATACATACATATACTAGAGCCAAATTAGACAGGAGCAAATTAACCTACCAGCATGTCTTTGGAGTGTGGGAGGAAACCAGAGTTCCCAGAGGAAACCCATGCAGGCACAGGGAGAACAGGTCATGTCCAGGCAGGCAGACCTTTTTTTTTAACTACTTGCCTATCAGGGCAATTTTGACATTTTTCAAACACACGTTAAAAAAATTAGCATGTTTTGCTAGAAACTTACTTAGAACCCCCAAATATTATATATATTTTCGGAAAGCAGAGGCCTTGGAGAATAAAATAGTTGCTGCAACTTTTTATGACATACTATATTTGCACAGCCACTTATCAAACGTAATTTTCAGGAAAAAATACACTTAAATAAATTTTAGTGAACACAAACATAATAAATTACCATTTTTTTAGAAAATAAGTAAATGGATACCAGACATGACATTATTTAAAATTTTGCATGCCTTCCGAATAGTGACAAACTACGGGCCTAAAATTAGACAGTAGGCATAAAAAATGCTTTAAAAGACTTTACAGGTTTACGGTTTAGAGTTAAACATGAGCTCTGGTGTTGAATGTATTGCTCTTATTCAGACGTTCACGGCAATACCTCACATTTGTGGTGCAAACACTATTTATACATTCGTGGCAGACCTATATGTGTGTTTTCATTTTCACGTGAGCACCATGGCATGGGGTGCTTTACATTTGTTTACATGTATTTTACTTACGTTTTTTTACACTTTTTATTTTTCCTTTCACTTTAGTACATCTCATTTAAACAGAGGTGCAGAGTGTATACAATAAATGAACAGAAGGGTAAAAAAAACAAAGGAAAAAATAACAGCGAACAAAAATGTGAGATATATCTCAGATATACAGGGAGACATGGGTAAAAAAACTTCCATCTGAAATGATAACAGACCAATTAATAGTTTCATTATAAGCCGACTTTGCGAGGTGCATATATCAGGAAGACTTACTGTACAAACCAGCATCACAACTCGCTGCTGGTTTCAGCTACAGCAGTGATAAAAGCAATAGCCAGGAATGAATTATTTATATAGAGTACAATGTGGGGCTATCGGGGGAGTGTGGGGAGGGGAAGAGGAGAGGGACATGTCAATCCAAATCCAAAGAGGGAAGCCAGAAACTGGTAAAGGAATGAAGAAGGGATGAAAGAGAAAAAAGTACAAAACAGGGGGGTACCCCAGAGGCTGACAGTGAATACACCTACATTGTGGCTTAAAGTTACACCTCCAACAAGCTAATTTTTCACTCAACTTTTATTGCTATCAGAAGGCATGTGAACAACACTCCTTGTGATAGCTTTGCTAGTGACATGTACTCTTTATAGAGAGATCAGAGGTCTATTACACCCCTGATTCCTCTTCTGCCCTTCAAAGAATCTGATCAAACACACCACTGAAACCAGAAATGACAAAATCCTTGTTGCTGCTACCTTCATTTGTCACAGAGAATGGCTCACTTTTTCCACAAGCGGCAGCAGGCGGTGGCTGCAGAGGGGCCCGCTTCCAAGCCCAGTAAAACTGATCAGACGGCTGTGAAGCTGTTTGGATCGCTTTTACCTGAAAGTTGATTTCCAGCTATAAAAATTGAGCAGGTGCAGTCATAATCCTGGTAGCGTATAATCGCTTCCCATCCAGGATTTATATATATGTACGCTGCACAGGAAGTGGTTATAAAAATTGATTAATTGTTGTCTGTTTCTATATCTTGCAACATGTCAGAAATGTATTCATGGAGAATTGCAACATTACTGAAAGTATATTTATATTGGTTTTAAATCTCACACAAGAAATATGAATAAAACATATCCCCCTCTATAGTTTGTACTTATCTCAGTCCAGAGCAGGGGCGGACTGACCATTTGGAAACTCGGGCAGGTTCAATAAGGGGCCCCATGAGATGCCCCTGGTACCTTTTTCATAGGCTTTTTTGAGTGTGGGCGAGGACACAGGGGCCCCATGATCCCCTATTGCCCGGGGGCCCCATGAGTTGTCAGTCCGCCCCTGGTCCAGAGCACTAAGTGTCATTTATGTCTGCTACCTCCTTCCTCTGCTATAATCATGAGTCACTTCTGACAAGTTTTTCTAACACCAAGAGAAAAAAGGTGACAGGGGAGGGACCTCCAGCAAATTGACATCCTCCCTTCACCCATCATTTCACTGGGTATGTGTAAGTGTTTGCAACCACTTAAAAGTATTTGTATTCTTTTTACACTGTAAATGCAGCATTTGTAGGAGGCAGTGTGTTAGGCACTTGCCTACCGGGCACTTTCACCCCTTCATGTCCAGGCCAATTTTCAGCTTCAGTGCTGTCACACTTTGAATGACTATTGCGTGTTCATGCAACACTGTACCCATATGACATTTTCATCATTTTTTTGAGACATATAGAGCTATCTTTTAGTGGTATTTAACCAGGACTTTTTTTATTTTTCTGCTAAACAAACAAAAAAAGACCAAAACTTTTGAAAGCAAAATTTTTTTTCTTAGTTTCTGTTATAATATTTTGCAAATAGGTAATTTTTCTCCTTCACTGATGTGTGCGACGAGGCTGCACTGATGGGCACTGATATGCAGAACTGATGGGCACTGATAGGTTGCACTGATGGGTACTGATGAAGCGGCATTGATGAGGCTGCACTGATAGGCAGCATTGATGGGCACTGATAGGCTGTACTGATGGGCACTGACGAGGAGACACTAAGGAGGCTTCACTGATATGCAGCACTGATAGGTGGTGCTGAAGGTCACTGATAGGTGGCACTGACTGGTGGAATTGATAGACACTGACTGGTGGCACTGGTGATCACTGACTGGTAGCATTGATGGACACTGGCGGCACTGATGGACACTGGCAGCACTGATGGATACTGGTAGCACTGATGGACACTGACTGGCAGCACTGATGGACACTTTTGGAACTGCACTGATGGACACTGTTGGGGCTGGACTGAACTGCCTCTGATTTTTTAAATACATTTGCCGATTACCAGCTCTGCTCTTTCCTCACGCTGTGACAGTGTGAGGAAAGTGCAGCCGATAACCGGCAAATGTATTTACAATGTGATCAGCTGTGTCATTGAACACAGCTGATCACCTGGTAAAAGGGCTCTG